AATCTTCGCACAGCTCTTCACGATACGATGAACATGAACGAAGTTGATTGTTGTTGATAAAGTTTAGGTAACTGTAGGACTAACCTCCTGGTAGACATTTGTTTAATAGATTAAAATGCATTGTACCAATAATTATAAATTATTTCAGCATTGCCTTCTCTTTTCAGTCCATTTATAAGTCAAAATTGCTTTGTAATTTCATAAACAATGAATTTCTAGTATTTCTAGTCTTGCCTAGGTCGGTAGTCTAGGCTTCAGTCATGTTACCCAGCGCCGTTCAGCGAGATTTGTTAGGTAAGGTCCACTGTGTGCGTTCAGATCTTGGCTAGGAGAAAATATTCATTGCGATGTGAAACCCTAGCATTCATTGAGCTTTTTGCACGCAAGATGCAAAAAATCGGAGGCACCATATCAAATTAGTGATTGATCAGGGATAAGAAAATTACTTGCAAATGAAAGTGGTGATGTCATTACTGACTTGAAATACAAATTAAATTGTTGATATATCACCACAGAGATTTTTAATTTGCTATTTTTTCATAAATCTAATGCTTTATTCATGAATAATAATGTTTAATTCATGTCATGGGTGCCTTAAGCACTGGTTTCAGAAGAAGCGTTGTATATCTCATTATTAGTATTCATAAAGCTAATGTTTTATTCATAGGATAACATTCATGCCATGTGATTATTGATTTCCTCATTACAAATTCTATTTTAAGAAGTAATATTACTATTGCGGTATTAATTCTGTCGTTGGTTGAAAACCCACAAGGTTTGATGTAATATTGCCTTGCATTGAATAAGATACAATGAATATTGTATGACAAGAAGGTCTTGTAAATATGAGACAAAGGGTAGTTAATGCCAGCTGTAATGTGTTATTTTTTGAATAAATATTTTTTTACTATTATTATATAATATATGGATACACCTTTGTTTTTAAATGCATGCCAGTGCTGTAGAAGTGTACACTCAAATAAATATTGTGTAATACTAAATAATCAATATTAGTGATATATATTTAATGTTAACTATAACATTATGTAAGAAGCATCACTTTGAGAGTAATTATAAAACTTAGTTACCTTTTACAATATTTGTGTCTGATAAATTATTATTCTTTTACTTATATATTAGTATAAGAATAAGAATTAAAATGTGTAATTAAAGGTAATTTTATTAAAAAGATATAGATATCCAGAGATTAACAAGCTTTGTATTTTACTTTGGTATTTATAGTCAGTGTTTTTAAAAATAAGTAATTATAATCAATATATATGGTTTTATTGACATTTGTGTGCAGTAATTTTAGAATATTGTGACATCATTTTGCACTGATGATATAATGAATGTTACAGCTGACCTCTCCTCTTGTTCGTAAACCGTTTAGTAATTCGCTAGTGACGACTGGACATTAACACAAGAGAAGAGACCTTCTTATCATTGTACATTTACTCTATCCTAGTAGCTCATTATCTACGTTTGCTAATTGCCCTTCATTACGTCTGAAGTAGGGAAAATACATGTGCAAGTAATAATCAAAATATCAAAATTAAATTTAGCTATTAATAGTCAAAGTATTATTGATATTGAAAGACATAAAAAGTAAAATATAGGTTATCGTATCAAGCTTAAGACCCAATTGATATTCATCTGAGTTAGCTACTTCGATATGATATAGGATAATATTGGTGTCATATAAATTCTAGACATTATTATTACTATATTAATATTTAATTATTAACATATTCAATTGTTATGAATAGATTAAAGAACTTATTACATTTCTTTCTGGTTTTCAAACAGCAATCCCAAACTCTGCCTATTGCTGGTGGCAAGCAATTTTAAGTTTAATGAGCATTAGAAATTGCCAAGTGATGACATGTCTGTAAAGTAATTATTTTCATATGTATTGAAAGTTAGAATGTCCTTCTTGAAACTACTTTACTTGCAAATAATTGGTGATAAGCTAGGCCTGTGTCAGACAGGCTGTTATCAGCAGTGAACATGTATAGTGCACCCCTACTCTTGTATAACTTGGATATTCTTGGATATTTCTTCTTTTCCCAAGCGTGTTCGTTGACATTCAGATATCCAGCCTGGTAAAAATGCAACTGCTGATACAAATCCCACCATGACATTTAAATTCAATAATACTACATTCTGCCTTGTTGTTAGCTGTCAACAATAGAAACTTACCAATACATTAAGAGAAGTACAATTAATGTTAAAATTATTTCAAGAGAAAGTATGTACAATGTTGACCACTCAGGCTGGAAAAATTTTTTTGAAACATGCAATATTGGAAGACACAATTTATCTTTATTCAAACCATATTTTGTGAGGATACACCATCTAGCAATTGCTTAAGTCATTGAGAACCAACAATAATAATTGAGTAGTCTGATGCAAACCTGGGTATGTGCATAAGGCTATGTTCACACACACGGCGTAAGGCTGGCTTAAGCATGGCGTAGCGTATACCTTTGTGTGTGAACTAGGCAGTGGCGTTGTTAAAGCCACTCGGTACGCCACATCCTTGGCGTTATTAACCCTACCTGCAGACCCCAGATTAGCTAACGCCACTGAGCTAACACCAGTGATGCTTGAATGATTTCACCTCATTTCAAGAGATTGACCAATCACGATTGCAATATATTAGCTACTTTGGTCTCTTTCCTGTGCTCTCTATAAATGAAATGGTAAAGGGGTTCTTTTTCTATTGCATTTTACTTAGTTATAATGTATATGATTTGTTGATTGTGTTTTGTAAGATATTTTAACCTATTTAGACTGTCTATTAAAACCTGCATCACCAACAATGCTAGCTGAAAAATCAAAGTAAAATTGTTCACTTAAAATACAATAATCATTAAGTTCACTTCGAACAATTCACAGATTTAAAAGTTTTACTGATGCACTGTTAATTTTACTACAGTTAAGAACCTGTACATTTTAAAACTTAAAACTATTCCCCCATAGGCCTATATTACTACTAGTTTAACGTCAGCGTTAATATAGCGAACGCCATTTGTGTGAACACTTTGGAATTTTAATCCGTGAATTAGCTTACACCTGGCGTAAGCTAAGCCAGTCTTACGCTGTGTGTGTGAACATAGCCTAATCCTCTGACCATCTCCTTTTTTCATATTTTCTTCCTGCCCATACAGTGTCCTTGACCCTTCATCGTACAGTAACACCCATCCTTCTTTATTCTCCTTCCGTCAATACACTAATTTTTTCTTCACTCAACTCTACCTTTTCCTATCATTTGTATTCCTTCCTTGCTTGACCATCCTTCAAACTAATTAATTGATGTAAAAAATGCCCTTAAAATAATAGAATTAAAGTTCATTGGACTCTACTGGTGGCCCATAGGCAGTCTCTACAATACTGTAGCTTACACTCACACTTCAGTCACATTGCCACTTCATTCTTGTTCTTCAGTAGAATAAATAAAATAAAGAAAATTATCATCAGTATACCTGTGCATGTATTCAGCATTACCAAACACCTGGTAAATGGGTTATCTTAACTGAGAGTTTCATCTCCTCAACATATTGGTTTAAAGTTATCTTAATGGAACTGATGATAGATTGAGAGGCTAAACAGTCAATTTGAGTGAAACTTTTGGAAACATTCTAATATGACTTTAGGGAAACCTGCTGTAACATTCTTAAGGGATATATGACAAACTTTCTTCTTTTTCATTTACCATGATTTTGTTAGTTTAGTAAGTATTATAAATATACTAATCAAAATAATCATGAATGTTTAATTACTAGTATTTGTTGATTTATACTAAATGTTATTGTTGATTAGTCCATTTATATTTAGCCTATCCAGTAACAAAATATAAATGGACTAATCAAAAATACTGAATGTTTAAT